TTTGTACGTCGAACCTATTTTAGGACCGACAGTGAAATACAAGCCTCCACTGTGAAACTACTCTATTACAGTTGTTCAAGAGAGTGTGTGTGTAGTTGTTTTGTTTTTTTTTTGTTTTTTTTGTTTTTTTTGTTTTTTTTTTAAATTAATTGTTTTGTTTTTACCAAACTCCTAGGTAACCTTTTGCATATTTTTGGGATATCAGAATGATCTAGAACCTATACTGTCAGTATAAAGATAGAAAATGAATTCAGTAGACAAGGATGTCTTTTCACCAGACTTTTTCAACTTTGTCAGAGAAACAATTCTGAGAGAATGAGAAGTCCTGCTAGGATTCATTATTAGGAGCCACAATCTTAACATTAGATATGCATATGACAGAGTATTGATAGCAAACATAGGAAGGTAGTGAAGAAAAGCAATAAAAAAGGATTATTAACAAGTAACAAGAAGAATTTGCATGATCTTGAAAAAGGGAACAAGCAATAACATGCAAATTCCAAAATGAGATACCAAAACTTAAACTTATAGACAATTTAAATATCTGGGAAGTGTTTTAACAGAGGATTGAAAGTTTAACCATTTTATAAAAGGCACATTGAAAGATAGTGAAAGATGCCATAGTATAGCTATGCTAAGTAATAAAAGATATGTAAAATTTTTTTAGAACCAAAAATTTTGAGACTGAATTGTTATGTAATATCAGTTCTCTTATATTGCAGTGAATGCTGGCAATAAAAATTGCAGATGAAGACACTTGACACAACAGAAATGAACCTTGCATAGGATGAACATTAGCATAAAAAAATAATATAAAGGGTATTCCAATAAATTGGATCGATTTTAAATGTGAATTAAGTTTAAGAGTCTAATGATTTTCTTATTTTTTATTTTTTCAGACTTAACAACTTAAGTCTTTGGCAATTTCAACCATGGAAAGATTAACAATGAAACAAGGTGTTAAAGTTTCAAGAGTGCAATTGGAAAAATTGTTTGTAAATTCAAACAAACAGGGTCAGTGGCAGCTGTGGAAATACCATTGTGTGCTCGTTTACGCCGTTCAGCTGAAGACATTGCGGCATCATATGAGAATGTGGTCGAAAATCCAGACCCCCTCTATTCGTCATCGTGTGCAGGAATTGAACCTCTCTACAACAATGTTACATTGTTTCCAATTGCACTCTCGGTTGGTCGATTATGTTGACCAAAAAAATTGTGAAGTGCGTGAAATGCATTTCTGTTTGAACGTCCATTTTCGTAATAGACTTTGATAAATTTAACATTTCATTTGATTGTTAGTCTTTCCATGGTTGAATTGCCTAAATTACTTAAAAATTAAATCTGACAGAAAAAAAAAAAAATCATTAGACGCTTAAACTTAATTCAGAATTTAAAATCAGTCAAAATTAGAACACCCTTTATATATGTTGATCCATATACCTACCTATATTTAAATGATTTTTCAAAATATATATATAAGAAGATAGAAGAAAGAACAGTTTTATATAATCCAGTGTTTTATTAATATTTTTATTTTTTTTAAAAAATATTAATGCAAATTTACTAATAAATTTATAAAAAAATTCATAAAATTTTTCAAATGGTTCCATCAAAAATATTGAGGAATTACCATGTTTCAAAAAAGTTAAGCTAAAAAACTTTTTCAATTAAAAGAATTAAATTAAAATCCCTATAGTTCTGTTTCATTTGCAAGTGAATTGAATTTGAAGGTTTTAACATTGTTTGATTTTTTTAAAAAAGATGAAAATCAAAAAAACCATATTTTTTTTATATATATATTTATATTTTATATATATATATATATATATATATATATATATATATATATATATATAAATTTTGAATAATAATAAAGAAGTTAATGGTCAAAATCTAAATGAGACCAGGAATCATGGAGTAATATTAAAAATATATCAATCTATAAAAGGCAGGATGTGTGTGTGTGTGTGTAATGCAAATGCTACAATTTTTTGACAGATTTGCCCCAAAATTTACATGCACATGCTCCAAGTTAGCGGGAAGGCCATGACCAACTTTGCATTTCCCAACTCCCATCGATAGTGGAAATAATCAATTTTGTCATGCTTCTATGGCAGTTTTCATGTAGTTTGTGACTATTTTCTACTGACCAGAGTGAGAGCCTATAGCTGGCTGCCACGAATAGGCAGGAAGATTCTATTGGCCAGCGTGAGAGCCAACAGCTGACTGACATGAATGTTAACTAGCATGCAAAAAAAAATCGATAGTTGCATTCGTCATAAGTGGGAAAAATTTAAATCTGCATGGCACTTTTTACTCCAATTGGCTCATTCGCTTGCTTAAACTCAATGTTGATTCTGATTCCACAGAACTGGGTTGGGTGTGAAAAAAGTTTGTTGTTAACATTCTTTTTCATTCGGTTTTTCCAGTTACAAGTCCTTTTTTAAAGCTGATTGTTTTGTGTTCATTTTGTTTAGTTCATTTTTTTTAACAGATTTAATGTTTAGTATAGAGCTTAGAAAAAATTTGCAGTATGAGATAGGCAAGAAGTAAGGCATGTAGCAACATCAGCACAAAAGGGCACTTGTTTAAAGGCAAGGAAGGGCAAAATATTTTAATTCAAGTGATAGCAATTGCTGTATGAGTCGTAATTTTTTTTGAATCAAGCACGGGTAACTCCGGGCCATGCTGCTAGTACACGTAAAAAGATAAAATTTATATGCAGATTTTTTATATATATATATATATATATATATATATATATATATATATTCCATGACTATTTAAACATTTATAATGTTGGATAAAAGTTAAAAATTCACTATTAGAAACAAACAGACATCCAGCTTGGTTTGTTAACGCTAGTCTTAGGAGTTCTGGCATTGTCATGTCTATCCATTCTGTGATGTTGTCTGATCAGTCCTTGTGTTGCTGTCCTCTTCTGTGTTCAACAGTTCCTTGTATTGTAGAAGCTATTATATTATCTTTTGAAAGATATTAAGTAAGTGAGGATTATTCTGTCAGCCCATGAATACCTTTGATTTTTTCTTATGTAGTTGTTGGTTTACTGCTCCCAACTTATTCCCAAAAATTGGAACTTTCTCAAGCATTTGTTCTCAAACGCCTGGATCCTTTCCCCTGTCTCAGCAAATATTTTCCAAGTCTCATTTTAAATAGAGAAAATTATGGAAATTAACCAAATATTTATAAAGCTTGATCTTTTGTCTGGAAAAATTGGTGTTATTTTTTTTAATCCTTGTACAAATTTCTATGTTGCCATTGCCATCTTTTGCCAGGGTTTCTCTCATGTGATTTTGGGGTGGTCACACAATCCACAGGCAGTGGAAAAAGGACAGAATTCCCTTTTCGACTACCTGAGAATTGTGTAACTGCCCCCAAGTCAAAGGAAAACTAAAGTGTCTTTATTCATATAGTGGACATCGAATGACAAAATTGGAATGACTCAATTTGATCATTTTGTAAAAAAAAAAAATATCACAAAGATTTATATTTCCGTTTTACACTTTAACTTACTAACATATATCAATTTTTGCTAGGCTTATGACTACATCACATTGAAATACCAGTTCCTGTATGCTCACCAAAGTTAACCTTTTTAGTTAAAAAATACAATAGCCATCATAGAATTCTCTCCTTACTATTATTAAAACTTTGTTAAAATGGATAATAATAAATAAACACTTGTCAACTGTTATTTCCAGTATTTCAAGCTGGAAATCATCTACTACTACTTAGGAACAAGGTTAAACTTCCGTTTTCCGATGCCATTTTGAATTCTTCTGGACTTTACATGAGGTTTAACCTCAATTAAACCCATGCTAATTTTTTAAAAACAAAAATGATAAAATCAATATCCAACAAAGCCTTTTTATTACATAATGCATTATATCAAAATATTACTCATTCATTCTTTTATTGGATTTTAACATTAAAAAAATCTGTAAGATTTGTATATTTCCAGTTTTTCGCATGTTAATCCTGGATAATGGCTAAAATTATTCTTTGGAGAAATAAGTTTCAATTCCTGCAAAACTGAGTTTGTTATACTCACTTATATACAAATTACCTTTTATTTTGGTAATAAAATAAATTCTTCTCCCCTTAGATAATAAGGTTTTCTTAATAAGACTTGTATCACTAAACCATTATCTTCACACATTAACTAAGAACAAGATATTCACAAAATTTGAGTTAAAAAATAGATGGGTTGATGCAACTGTTTTTGGAGAAAAACTGCCCTGGGGGCTTCTTTATTCCAACCACGCCTTTTATGAAATTTCCTCCCATCCCTTAATTTAGAACTGCGAGCATTCTAAGAAAAAGTATTTCATTGCTGAATGTTATTAAAGAAAAGAAAAAAATTCTACCCACCCCTTTTATTACACATCCTGACTATTTGAAACTCAAGCAGACATATACTGACAGCCATATCATGTCGAGAAACTGTTATATACCATACCTATAAACACTAATGGGTATGTCCCAATCATCATAAATACGTTGGACACTATTGTAAGTGGGGGTAATATGCTAAGTAGTCCACCACTTGCAGTGGTTTACCTACTTCACACGGCTGGTGAATATTGTATTTTGTTGATGTTATAAAGATTACCATTTCATTTCCAACCTTCATTTTGGTTATTCCTCAATCAGCAACCCTTCCTAGGTTACAAGAAACACTGGTTCCCATTGTAGAACAATCATGTCAACACAAACACTCAGTTGTGGAACAAGCTGAGCAAAGCCTCCTCCACCTTAAGAGAGCTATTTATGGTGCCATGGAGCATCTCATTGTGCCCAAGTGTGATAGTCCATTGCTTGGGCTGGGATAGGCTGCTGGTACATGAGTGGAAGTATTTCTGTATAAATACCAGCTTCATTCTACATTGAGTTACAACCTGCTTTATTTTTGCCTGCCAGCTGGATGCTAGCTGGGACCCTTACACCGGTAAGTGTTGTTGTTCTGTTGTTATTCTACACCCATAAGATCACCGAAGTTAAGCAATATTGAGCCTGGTCAGTACCTAGATGGGTGACCACTTGTGAATTCCAGGTGAAGTAAACTTAGATGTGTGGGTGGTGTAATGGATACTGGTTTGAAATTATTGATCAAAGAACAGTTCCAATTCCACTTGGGTTTGTTATATTCACTTATGCACTTGAGAAATGTAGGAATTGTAACAGAGAATCAGGTCAGCCTGATAAAAGACTCTGAGTTAGTTGTATGTGGTGCTGTGAGCACCAGGAGTTGCATCATCTTCCACAATTGTCTGTTGAGAGAAGACCTTCAGCTTGGAGTAGGTGGCGCTATTTGCATATGAACGATACTGGGCAGGTATTAGTTAATAGTCAGCATGAGTCTGGGACTGGGAAAGCTATATAACACCAGCTTTTTTCTCAGTCGAGAGAAGCGCTCTTAACGTACGGACATGTGAAAACCAGAAAAGGCGAATACATGAATCCACATCTTCTCCATCTACTATGGGTTAATTAGTAAGACTTGTATTACTAAATCATTATTTCCACCTTCCCCCAATTCTTACAATCTAAAAATATTTTCTGTCTTTAAATAACCTGTAAACGGTTGATAAGTCATAGAAAATGAATGAATCAATCAAACAATTTTAGTTTTGATAAATTTACATGAGTCTTACAGATATTACTCTCAAATTTATTTTAAATCTTTGCTTTTTTATAATCCTTGCAATATTCTCTTAGATCGTGTCAAGCAATTAAACTATTATTAGTACATGTATGCTACTAATTATTTTTCCTAAGTAAGGGTTCCAGAACTGTCAGGTTATCCATTTTTGCTTAACCAACAGTGGTCACATAATAACAATTGATTATTTCCACTATTTATGTTCAGACAATTGTCCTCATCTTTGTTGTTATTATTTTGGGTGTTGTACCCTTCAGCTTTCATCAGGTGTATATCAAACCGAGTAACATATTGGAAATACCAAACAACTCTGTGTTTAATCCACAGGTGTAGACTATTCTCGTTCCTGTTCTAGGTGTAGGGATATCTCAGTTCTTATTTTTAGTACTTCTCAGTTATTGCTTGCCCTGTTTCCACTGAGTCCAAGTACACACTATTCCACTGCCCATGTCTGGGGATATCTTGTCTAATTATTATTTTTAGTACTGGCCAGTTATTGCTCGTCCGTTTCCAGTGAGTCCAAGTACATACTGAAATTCAGACAATTTGTTGAAACATTTTTAGGTTTGTCATTGTATTAATATATACGTTCCCACATACAAACATACATATGCACATGCAATTTGAATAAAATTGAAATGGGCATCTGTGTTACAATGGTTAATTTCACTTTCTACCTGGCAAAAACCCCTGGGTAATAGGAAACAAGTATAAGCTAGTTCTTTAAAGTAATTTTATGACACCTTCCTTATTTAAACTGAATATATTTTCTAATAAATGTATTTTAACTAGACAAACAATTTAGATTTGAAATTTGGTCATGCTGTCAATGAAGTGACAAGTACTGAACTAGCAATGATTGAATTTGGGGGACGAGAAGTTACTATTATTTGCATTATTTACATTCACACTATTGTCATCATATTCATTGTTATTATCACAATGTTTTGGTCATTGTGCTTCCTGCTCTTTTTCAAGTGTTTATTATCGCCCATACTTTTGAGGTACTGAAAGTTACAAGCGAATTTTTCAAACATTTTTGAGTTACTTGAAAGTTACAAGCGAATTTTTCAAACATTTTTGAGGTACTTGAAAGTTACAAGCCAATTTTTCAAACATTTTGAGGTACTTGAAAGCAATGAAATTTTTTCAAACATTTTTGAGGTATTTTTTCCAATCATACAATAAAATTTTTTTTAACATTTCTGAGGTATCTTGAAAGTTACAAAGCAAATTTTTTAAACATTTAAATAGGTTGCTTGAAATTTTTACAAGCCAATTTTTCAAACATTTTTGAGGTACTTGAAAGTTTTAAGTTTGCTTTTCAAACATTTTTGAGATAACATTGATTTTACAATTTATTTTTTCAAACATTTTTTGAGTTACTTGAAAAGAAAAAAGCGAATTTTTTGAAAACATTTTTGAGTTATATTTGAAAGTTACAAGCGAATTTTTCAAACATTTTTTAGTTACTTGAAAGTTATTTCCGTAAGTAGACTTAAATTTTTCAAACATTTTTGAGTTACTTATAAAAGTTAATTTTTAATTTTTTTACAACATTTTTAGTTAATTTTTACAAGCATATTTAGTGCAAACATTTTTATTACTTGAAAGTTATAAATATAAAATTTTCAAACATTTTTGAGGTACTTGAAAATTACAAGAAATTTTTTGAAACATTTCTGAGGTAAAGTAAAGTTACAAGAACTTATTTTTTTTTACATTTCTGAGGTTACTTGAAAAGTTAAACTTAGAATTTTTTTACAAACATTTCTGATAAAAAAATTGAAAGTTACAAATTTAATTTTTCAAACATTTTGAGGTAATTTTATTATTAGGTTTAATTTTTCAAACATTTTGAGGTAATTGAAAGTTAAAAGCGAATTTTTTTTAACATTTCTGAGGTTAAAGAAAGTTACAAAAAATTTTTTTTTAAAATTTCTGAATTAATTTTCCAAAATTATCAATTTAAATTTTCAAACATTTCTGAGGTAATTGAAAGTTACAATTTTAATTTTTTTTAAACATTTCTGAGGTACTTGAAAAAATATTATTTTTTTTTTGTCAAACATTTCTGAATAATTTGAAAAAAACAAATTCATTTTTCAAACATTTCTGAGGTAATTTGAAAGTTACAAAATTTTTTTTCTTAACATTTCTGAAAATTTACTGAAAGTTACAAGCCAATTTTTTTTACATTTTTGAGGTGAAACAAAGTTACAAGCCAATTTTTCAAACATTTCTGAGGTACTTGAAAGTTACAAGCCAATTTTTCAAACATTTCTGAGGTACTTGAAAGTTACAAACCTATTTCCACCCCCATTTTTGAGGTACTTGAATGTTACAAACCTGTGTCTACTCCCATTTTTGGGGTACTTGAAAGTTAAAAGCCAGTTTTTTCCTCATTGAGCTGTTAAAGCTTGGTCAGAGGAGAGATCTTCTGTCAGATTCCTATATTCATTTTTGATAAACTTTGGTATCATCTGCATTGATGTTTACTTATTAATATTTATGATCTGAGAATGTCCCTCAGCAGATTGTTAATGGTAAGCAGAAGGAAGATAAAGACCCAGGAGAAAGCTGGGTGATGCCTGCATTGATCTCTTGGGCTTCAGACAACTGGCCACTCATAAAACCATCATGGACCTGCCTGAGATAAAAGACTTGGTAATTGCATAGACTCTTCTAGAGCTGCCACACCTAGAAAGTAGCACTTTCCATAGAAATAGCAATAGAGTAATGAGAGGCTTGTCACATCTCACCTTGATTAATTTTGGTTTCAACCCTTAATAATTCATCACCCAAAGTGTTCAGAGATGCTTTTAGAGTTATCAAGACTGGAGATGTTTCCTTTATGCAGCTCCTGCCCAAATATGATAACAGTAAGGCCATTTTGGTCTGAAATCTGGCTCTTGGGTAAATGGACAGCATGAGGAATTAGGTATTATTTTTTTTGATTTAAATTATTAATTGAAAAAAAAAGAAAAAAAGTGGGATACTATATTTAGTGACTAACAAATACCCACAATAATAGATGAGGAGAAAGTATAAAAAATTTTGTCTAAGAGTAACATATTACATCCTCTAGAGCTGAGTTCCAATTTCTGTTAGGTTCATTATATTCACTTAGTAATCCACTTCTTCTCTCCCCAGCTATGGGTTAATTAGTAAGACATACATCACTAAACCATTATCATCTCAAAAAAAAAAAATTTTTACAGTCTAAAAATATTTTCTGGCTTTAAACTTGCAAATGGTTTATAAACTGTAGAATCAATCAATCAATTAAATCTTGTTTGTGGCTTAATACTGGTGGCTTTATTACCTTGCTTGGAGTAAATTGATTAAAAAGAAAGAAAAATGGACACTTATAAAGAAACAGCTGAAATTTTGGGGATACATAGTGAGGAAAGAGGGCTTGGGAAATTTGACACTTAAAGTACAGAGAGAAAACAACCTAACAAATAAGCTTGTATGAATAGTTACAAAGGACAGGGAGTTGTGAAGAGCCACAGTCACATCTTGTAAGGAAACTGCACATAGATTTTACTTAATAGAATAATTGACATATTTGTGGGTAGTAAGGTAATCTATAGTTGCGTCAATATTTTGAAAGTTTTATAAGTATATGCATGCATATTAATAGATTAATTAAAAAAGATTAGATCTTGTTAGGATGTAATTTTAAGAGTAATTTATAAAACAGAAAAATGAGTTCACTGCATTTTTGAACAAATTCTTTAGACTGTCCCAGTAAATAATGAATCTCTGTTTTTTTAATTTATGAGCTAAAAGTCGGCCATTTAAAATGATTAAGTCAATAAGATAGCCAAGAGACTATTGTATTATAGTCGTATATGCTAGGTTTATCTCTGTCGACTCTAATAATAAGGATATGTACCTAGTATAACAGTTATCAGAATGGAATGTGGGATTGGCATGCAGGGTTCAAATTCCAAACTAGGCTGTTGTTTGCTTTCATACAAATACCATTGGAAAGGTATGAAGCCATCTCTTCTACCCCTACCCACTAGAGCTTAATTGCAGGGAAGGCTGGGCTCTATGCTATATAGCTTTTGGTTGGCAATCAATCTCCTTACCCCAAGCAAGATACCACTAGAATGCAGGTTGCAGGGAATGAAAATAAAAGAGAATAAGAAGACTGAGAATGAGTAGGATTGAGGAAAGAAAAAAGTAACAGGAAGCTAGAAGATGGTGATTGACATTGCATTTAATTTTTTTAAGAATTGTACTTATCAGAGAAGCAAGAAATTGAAAGGAAGTTCTACAAGTGAGAAGTGTGAGAAAAGAAACTGTTAGAGTAGAACATTTGCCATGAAAATATTTGTAGAACAGGCAGAGAGAAACCCCATAATGTTGGTGAGAAAGTGACTAAA